TGTGCGGAATCGAAATCATCAGTAGTAATTCCATACAAGGAGGTACATCGGAAACCACCTTACAGAGGAGAATTCTTAACAAGGCAGGCAGGAATAAAAGTGGCTGGAATTCAACCCGTCCCCACAAACTCAATTAGAAACAAGCTTTGTCGGTGAAAGGGTCAATCCTGTGGAGGCGATAAAACAAAACAATTCAGTTTATCTAATACCCTGCCTGCTGCGATGATTGTCAGGTCAAATAGATAAGTGAAAGTAGTAGAACAGGGTCAGTGAGTCAGACTAGCCGAACATGAACGCCTAGCAGTGAAATCTAGATTGGTTGACCCGAATAAGATAAGAAATCTAGAGAATAGTTCAGCCGTAATAGCACTCACTACATACTATCACACCCACACAACCATATAATAGGCTGGATGGGATAGGATGACAGTTTTAAAATCTGATGTCACAGCTTGGTGTAGAGTGGGAGCGATTGATAACAACGGAAGCTTTGTTTATCGAATCAACTGAAACAGGGGAATACATGTATTAGGAATGATTCAACACCTGTTCAGTCAGATATCTGGAAAATTCTACTACCACGCCAGCGACGATGTCAAATAGGAGAGGACAAAGAAAACTATAAAACTCCAGTTTCGAAGTCGTGTGATTGAAATTGATGAAATGATTATGAACCACAATAATTTTTTTTCGAAACCTTGTCATCAAGTAAATAATATTAATACTGTTTCACTATGTGACTGTGTGAAACATCTAATAAACAAACTAATATGGAAATATAAGAACTAAGTCTACAAATCGCTTATAACACGCTACAAATATTTGATAGTCAGTATTAATTTGTAACTTCACGACTTCGTCGATTGATGAAGTCGTGAAGTTACAAAGACTGAGATGGTTAGGACATGTGTTACGTATGCCAAGCCATCGCCTCCCTCGACGAGCAATGTTAGCGGATATAGGGTCAGGCTGGAAAAAAAGCTAGCGGCGGTCAAACAAAAACTTGGCCTCACCAGTCAATGAAATCCACAACAGTTGGTCTAAGCCACGTAGGAAGGTGTAGACTTCCAGGCTGGGGTCCTCGGGACAGTAAAAATCTATGGTTGGAAACAATTGGTGACATGGCTCAAAATCGTTCTCAGTGGCGCAGATGCATCCACTCCCTGTGACTTATGATTTTCAATGAAACTGTTTTGTTTTTCTTTATTACTCCTTTGTCTCACACCTCTGCTCACTGTTTCTATTATGCTTTTCTTGTACTTTCTTCTCTTGCTTCGCGTGCTACACGGAGTGTGGCGACTTGAACTTCCGCACATGTGTGCAAAGTTCTATGTCGAAAACAGACAGACAAACATTAATTTGAAATAATAATAATATCGTTACAGACTCATACTCTTCATTGTTCCAATGACTTAATGAAAAAATTTATTTATCCCATGTAGTAGTAAGTGGAAACTCATCTAGAGTTCACTCGGCTCAAATAAACTTTTTCCTAATCCTATAACATACTTTGTCCTTGTGACTAAGATAAGGAAATAATATGAACTCAGAAAATGAAAACGAGGTTTTTCTTTTCATCATCAGTGTATTCATCGCATCAATTTCTGTCTGGCTTTGTGCAGCTATCAAGTCATGTGAATAAACTCATATGAAAGTTATAAGCACGGTATTTTCTAAATTATATTATTTTGTCTAATTGTTTCTAACCAACAGGGTCCTTTAAGCTACAGAGCTTCTCCCTGTCTGAGCGAGTTTGCAGGTTTGAATGCCACTCAACCACAGTGCCCAAGAATTGTGCTCCAAACATCATCCAATTACCATGTGTGTGTGTGTGTTGGTTGCGTTAATCAGACTTACCTAATATGGAATTATATATCATCACGGTACTTAAATTCTATTGTTACAGCATTTATTATTGTTATTGTTAATATTATTATTGTGTTGTGCTTCTTTCATTTTTCACATATGAGTTAAACTATTAACCTTGACAGATTCCTTCCTGATTTGGGGGTTACTATTTTTAAATGATCTTTCTTAGGAATGTCATTTTTTTGAGTGTGTGATTTTAAAGACGGAAGATTATGCATGGTCTATGTCTGTCAAGATATATATCTGAACTTGTTATAACTAAGCTTATTGATGGTGTCATCGTACTAGTTTCCAGTTTATTTTAACAAAAAATATTAATGCAATTATATAAAATGCGGTGTATATAACTGACTCATTTGTGTTTTTTTTAATCTTATGTAGATGAACATTGTTAAGCTTGTTAAGCAATAATGATCTTTTGTACAGCACACCTGGAAGACCCCAGACTTCATAAATTCCTTCGTGTGTTGAAAAACTGTGTTGATCTTATTCCGTTCTCTTATAGCTAATTAAATTAGGCAAACAATAATGACTAACCTGAAGTGTGTAATATTTTCACCATAATAAGAAATGTTAAAGAAAAAATAAATTTACGATGGAGAATGAAATGAATTTGAGGTTGTATTTTTGTTACTGTGATCGGTATTAGAGTTAAAGAAACAGTGAACCTTTTCGTCGTGAATTTTGAGGTTCATTAACACTGCCCGCATCTATGATATTCTTCATCTAAAGAAATGTAAGCCCATTATAATTAAGGTTTTTTGTATTTCCCAATGAATGAAAAAAGAAACGATATTATTTTCACTGACGTTTCGCTATTTAATGCTAATAGCTTTTCTCAAAGTATTATTAAGCCCAGTTTATTATGTAGTTGCATAGTAGCCTTCACCTATTCAATGAATTAAAAATACGGCAGTATGTCATTTATTGTAAGCGTGCTGGAGTAGTTATTCGAGTTACAGGAATCCACCAGAAATAACTTCTCAGTGACACTGAGAAAATTGGTGGATGGTGACTAGCAGTGAGATGCAGGATACACAATTCGTTCACCAATAAAATTCTAATTAAATGCCCAGACATCGTCGAATCATCTGCACAAGAAGTCAACCGACATGTCAACCTGAGATCGAGCAGTTTGTTCCAATCAATCGGTGTTTGGGAAAATCTAAAGTTCAATCAAAAATAATTAATATGACCCCTTGCACAAGTGGTCCAACAGATAATGCTTTGATTGGTGTTTGAAAGTATGGTGGGAACATCATCACTGACTTTCATAGGAAACGCAGATACATCCTGCAGTCAACTAACGAGACCCAAATAAGACGGAGGAAATTTGCGTTATCCTACACTGGATTTCACAGCCACTCACTCACCATCTACCAATTAACTTGTCATTCCTTTTTGTTTCCAATCAAAAGGTTTTCACCTGTCAACGTCAAAGAATACAATTGTCATCATTTAACCTTGGAGAAGCATTGAGAAAAAATAGACCTCCTCATAGCTTCTATATGTGTAGATTGGTGGTCATGTTGATTAAAATTCAAATGTCTATCTCATCCACTTGCATGACATAAGTAAAGTTAGTGGTTCAAATATTTTTTTTTCTTCAACAAACTTTTATTATAAGTAGAACTGTGTGACTTAGTCTTAATTGCTTGTGAATTCACAATTATGAACTAAAACATGGAATATAGCAATAAGGTAAAGGGTTTGTATTCCTAAATACCTAAAATGATTTATAAATGTTTAATAGAATTTCAAATTTTCCCGTGGATTGATTGGACTGAAATGCTCGATCTCAGGCTTCTCGTGTAGATGCTTTGATAATATGGTGGATGGTGACTAACAGTCGAGGACAACGCGCATTTCGTCCTATTTGGGACTCGACCGAAAACTGCTACCTTGACGTGGTGGTCGGGCTTGAACACCGCAATGACCTAATCAAGCTATACTGGCTGAGACTTATGTCTCTTGAAGTTCTACCATGCCAAGCAGGTTGTTAGGATAGCGGTTAAACAAAAAGCAGCTACCTCATCCAATACCATGATTCAAACAAATTCACAAAATATCATGCCGTATCGGCCGTGGCCCGAATAAACAACGACCGCGCTTCCTGCTGCCGTGTCACTGGGCAGGAGTGATAAATATGCTACTGAGATACACCAAACAATAAAGAACAAACAAAAACAGGCCGCATGTAACCGGCCTCAAGCAGTTGTCCCCTGGGTTCTGCCGTCACGCCACCAACTTCCACGGTGTGGGCAGCCGGGAAGTAACAGACGCCCTCACAATCCGAAATGCACACAAAACCTCTCTAATCCTCCGTCCGCCAGTTGGATGTGCCTGCATTTCCCAGTGAGTCAGTTATGATATTCCCAACGAGTAATCTATCCATATCTATACACTGTGTGTGACAGTTTATCAAAATAAAATCTTATCCATAATGGTGTAGTTATACTCTACCACACCACAGTTCCCAAGTTTTATACTTATATCGTTAACATGAATAAATAGTGCAGCATGTGACATGTAACCTTAAATCCAAAAATAACATCAATCATTGATACTGTCTGAATAAAACATAAAATACCTGAATAGACTGACTAAGCTATAATTTGACAGACTTATAAATGGAACTAACGAACAGATAGATATTGAACTCTTTTAAATAGAAGTGCTACAGTAGATATAATTTTGTATATAGAAAGCGTAAGTGACTCAAATGACATTTTACTACGCATAGCCTTGAGTATAGGTGAATGAGAGCATGCTTCAATCGTGGAAAAACCAACAGATGACACATTACATGTGGCCTTTAAATAAACAAAAGTATCGTTTGCACGAAAGCGAATAGAAAGTTATCCTAACAACTCAGCTATAAATACTTAAATTTCTTTCATAATTGAAAGATTAAAAACCTAGGTATCAATAAAAAATAACAAATGAGCTTGATTCATCATGAATTAAAGAATTTGCAGTGGTGAATGAAACCGATACACTCAGAGATATGAAACAAGACAAACATAAAATCTTAGTTCTAAAAACAGATAGAATTGGTACAACCGCCTTTTTGTCAAAAAAAAAAATAGGCAAATAGACATCACACAAACAAAAAAATATTTCACACTTACCGATAACGTATGAAGCTGCGCCACCATTCAAACGCATATTCCGGACAGGAATCCCAGCTGCCTTAAGATTTCCACGTACTGCACCAAACAAATCATTCAGTTTGACTCTAATCGTTGGAAATCCTGGATGCCTACTATGGATTGGAATAGTTTTCGACAAAACATGATGCAGTCTGGTCACTTGTTCATAAGATAATATTTGAAAACGATTTCCATTCGTCACCACTTTAGGTTTGTTTAATGCAGTAGGACTTGCTAGTGGACAGCAAGTGTCTTCAACTACAGCTGCACAAGTCCCAGGTGGAGAAAGTCTTGCCACATCGACATATTTACTATCACAACCAAACTGATGATAAGAAGTACCAACTTTTAATGGATGTTGACGCATCTGCAGATGGCTGTTCGAACGTCGAACTTCAAACCCGGCAAAAGATTGTGCATCATCTGAATCGGTGTCCTCAGGAAAAGGTGATGATGGACTTAAATTCAGTGTTCTCTCGATTCCAGAATCATCAGATGGACATGCACTAGACGCAGGTGACCGACTGTGTTGTGTTGACGTGACCAATTCGGGCAGTTGTAAGTGAAATATTTGTGATAGTGATTTAGAGTTGCCATGATCAAATTTATTATTATGATGATGATGAGGAGGATTGAACGAGAAGGGATTATTGTTATTATGTAGACGTCCTACTTGCGTCATCGTAGTAGTAGTAGTAGCAATAATTCGAGAACAAAGTTATGAATTGATAACAATAATATTGCCAGATTGTTGTGTCCTAAATGCAACGAACAGTCATTCTCCACTTTGGAAAAATTAGTATTTCATCCAATTTTGACAGCTGTATTAATGAGAAATACGAGATTGAACTGCTCTCAGATATCAACAGAGAACAACTGCCATGTTTTCATTCATAATTATCATTAAATACTAAATAATACTAAAAATACAAAATAACCAAACAACTCAATCAAATGAAAAATGTGCGGCGACCACATTCATTTTTAAAACATAATGAATGGCCCAATCCAATCATGAGCAGCCTAGGAATGAGATACAGTATACACTTAAAGAGAGAGACATATGTACACCACGAATCGCCTTTCAGTGTATGTAGTTAATGGGTTAGACTGACCAATCAAATGTGCGGACATCTACATTCTGATTGGTTAATTTTTGTATATACAAATGGTCTAACAAATATGTTAACTAGTTAGTTAGATAGTTTATCGTAGAATGCGGATAGATAGATAGATAGACAGACAGATAGACACACACACATATGTATACATCGCTTAAATTGACTGCCTGCTTGGTCGGTCAGACCAGCGACCAGCTAACTCACCCACTCACTCACTCACTCACCCGTATATCCATATTTCGCCTACGCTATTTATGGGGTGAATGTGGGTGTGTGTGGGTGTTGGGCATCAGATTTCATTATTATATTTTTGTTATCATTATTATTATTATTATAGGAAAGATATATATGAAATGAAATGAGGGAAAATTTTGAGACTTCTAATTTTGGGGGAAAAAACGAAAAAATCTTTTTTTTTCAATGTTGTGTGACATGTTTGGAAGTAGGAAAGCAAAAAAAAACGTATCTCATTTATTTATATTAGTACAAAAATAGAGTAGCAATACTAGTGATGACAGTTTATTGAACAATGGCAGTTAGTGTTAATGATAATAATAACAATTAAAAAAAAGAAATGTTTTAAGCTAAATTAGAAATGAGAAAAACACTGCTCAAATGGATTTTACGTTTCTCAGTTACCACCTAAGGCAAGATGAGTAGAAATGTTCTAAAATTATTGATTTTTCTGTTATGCATAAAATGGACTGACACAAAAAACTTGGAGGATCTGGATTTCGCCGATGATATATGTCTGATCTCCCACAAACTGGAAGATATGCAAGTGAAAAGCAACAATTTGGCAGAAGAAGCATCAAAGATAGGACTTCAAGTGAACATAGATAAAACAGACGTGATGAAGATTCCTGGGCAACAGCAACAGACAACAATCAGTCGGCATAAATGAGAAGAAACTAGACAAACCATTGCTCTAGTGGAATACGAAAGTGAAGCGGCAAGTTGGTCGTCAGAGTGAGGGTGACTAGGGGGAGGTCATGTGAAGATTAGATGAAAGCGTGTGGGTAGACTTGGAGTGGGGTGAAAAAAATTGGCAGAAAACCGAAGGCAATGGAGACGTGCAGCTGAAGCCCTATGTTCTTCTAGGAATTAAAGGGTATAATAGTAATAATTGGTAGAATGCTAGGCACATGAGAGGGGAAATCAATCGACGAGGCTGTGAAGTTACATCGATCGAGATGGTTAGGACATGTGTTACGAATGAATGCCTAGTCATGTTTTTTTGTTTGTATTTCTCAATGAATGAAAAACGAAACGATATTGTCGTTTTTCACTGACGTTTGGCTATTTAATGCTCCTAATAGCTTTATATCAAAGTAATAGTCACTAAACTTTTCATGAATAGATTAGAAGGTAACATCTCATCAAGCATACTCATTCTTAAAATATTGGTTAAGATATAAGTAGATGATACTTTTGTAGTGCTGAAAGAAGATCTACACAATTCATTCCAAGAATCCAGTTAACTTCGGAGGCAGAATCAGATGTCGAGGAACTACCATTTCTAGACTGCCTAGTTAAGAGAAAGGAGAACACACATTTTAGTATATCCATATTCAGGAATAAAATCCACTCCAATAAATATTTGGACTTCAAATCATCACACCCCGTCAGCGCAAAGACTTCAGTTGTCTCAAGTCTTCTTAGACGAGTACACTCTCTGATGTTAACGAGTGAGAAAGAAAAAGTGGAAGAAGAAATATCAAACATTACTGAAAGTCTCTTCAAGCAAAACAACTACCCAAGGAACTTCATCAACAAAATCAACACTGACATTAGGTGGGGTCGAAAACGCATTCCGAAAACATGGACCTCAACAATTGTCATTCCATATAGAGCAGAGACGTCAGACGACATATATCAGAGGAGTACTCAGTCAGCTCGACATTAGAGTTTTCCTCAAAACTTCAAACACACTGCGAAACAACCTTATCCATATAAAAGACAAAACCCCTAAAGATTCTCTATCCAATTGTGCCTATACATCGGACAAACATCGCTACAGAGAAATCAAAAACAGAAGCAATGAACACCGTAGAGCATCTGTTCGACCACCAAGAAATAAATCCAGTTGAACTAGAAAAGCTTGAAAAATCATCAGCCATGGCTCGTCTACACGCTACGCCATAGGATCAGGCCACAAAATTGATATTAACAATATTGAAATCGTCATCCAGAAAAAGCATTTCAGAAATCACAAATAGCGTCTCATATCATCATCAGAAGCACTTCATAACATCAAGTGGAATCCAAGTTGTCTGAACTGAATAGGAATGATGGACCAAAACAGAATTCGACCTGGTTACACCACCTCCGTCCCCCCATGAAGTGAGAAAATCAACACGAATGTGATAAGCAAGTTCACTATGTAAACACACACTGCTTTTATAATTTTACACACTTATCAAGTCGAACAGTTTACACTTGGTTTAGTTTTCTTTACCAATTGGCCAACTTGACAACTAAAAAATGCCCCCAGACTGACGAACGGTGATCAAGTTAAAAAAATTTCTTTTGATACAAGCCAGGGGAGATGTACTGTTACCTCTGTTATTTGGTTTAATCATTCATCTTCATTGTTATTTTAACTTTAAAAATGTCCTCGTTTTAGCTTGACCTAAGTCTATTTTCTCATCTCTTAAGCTGAGGAGATTTTGTAAATTCTGGTTTAATAATACTGCTTTGATAAAGCTGTTACCATTAAATGGCGAAACGTCAGTGAAAACGACAATATCATTTTGTTTTTCATTAATTGGGAAATACAAAAAAACCTTTTTTATAATGAATATCATATACCCAATGCCCGAATTTTTTCAAACTGTTAAAAGTGAACTTGGTTAGGACATATATGGCTAGTTTCCTATAGTTTGGTTTGTAAGGGTTAGTTTTGTTTTTACGACTTGATAACGGATTGATATCAGTTAGAGAACCATTGGAAACCAGTCACAGGGAGTACTGGACAGCCATTCTGTTTCATCAGCCTAGTTTAGGAATCATCATCAGTACACACTCGCCACAAGCGGTTAGAATCCAGGACCTTCCAGTTACAAGACAAGCTTGTATACCATTCAGCCACTGGGACCCGATTCAGTGGCCAGTCAGTGCATAAATTCTAACTTCTACCGATTCGTGATTTAGCGCGACCCCAATCAGTGTCATATGTGACATCTGGATGGACCTCACTGGGGTCGCGCTAAATCACGAATCGGTAGAAGTTAAAATGCATGCACTGGTTGGCCATTCAATCGGGTCCTGGTGAATGGCTGAATCGTATACCAACCAGCTTGCCTCGTAAACGCACAGTCTTGGGTTTGAACCGCCTGTGGTGGGTGTGTACTTCCGATGATTCCAAAACTGGCTAGATTTTTATAGTTGTCGTCGCAACATTTAAATATTATCATCAACTTTTATCAATTTCCTCAGCTGTATGTAGAAGACGAACTCGTAGAAGAAAATTAAGATTAGTTGGAATGCGATAGATAATTTTACATACAGTATTAACGTCAACCTTATGCTCTTATGATCTACAGGGTGTGCTACAATAGAGCTACGAGTAGATCTTGTTTGTCCCTTGCTTAACCATGCTGCAAGATGATGTTCGGAAATACGATGATGAACCTGCCTAATTGAAGGCCCGATGTAGCTGGCTCCGGAACTGCAGTCAAACTGGTAGATACACAGAGGGGAGGAGGCGAATTTAGGTAGTTTATCCTTATATCTTGAACGTGGAATAGGGTTGGTTGTGAAGAGACAACGTACGTCTGCTGCATAATAAGCTTTTTTAACTGCATTCTTCAGTCGTTGTTATTATTTTGCTGATGTTGTTACCGAGGAACTGAAGTTTTATGAACATTGGTTTTTTCGGAAGTGTTGCCATAGTGACTGTCCTAGGTGATGAATTCATATTTTTCTCAATGGGCTTATCTGGATAACCATTTTTTCGAAGTAATTCTCTAATAATCTTAAGCTCCTCATTGAGACAGTCGTCTGAACAGATTAACCTAGCTAGCTCTATGAACCAGACACTTTACCAGGTTACGTTTATATTTCAAAGGTATAAAACTCAGAAGATGAGTGTACTGACCTGTTGTAGTAGGTTTCCTGTACACACTTCTTCTTGGTGTGCCATCTTCTTTCCTTGCCATGAAGACGTCTAGGAATGAGATACTGTCATTACTTTCTTTCTCTATAGTAAAGTTTATTACTGAATGGGCATCATTAAACTTGTCAAGGATGTTCATTGCATCATCCTCGTTCTTCATGACCAGAAATGTATCATCCATATATTGACATATCTATATATTTGAGTACAGCTGACTGATAGATAACCCTCTATAAGTATATATCTTGTTCCTTTTAAGATTTCAGCGAAGTCTGAATACTTGCTACCGGCTTCGTGGACATCCATCATTTTAATTCATTTGAAATAGGTTTGTAAATCCAGGAGAAGGATATTAATCCAGCGGTAACAACGATTAGTTTAGACAAAATCGACGATTAGTCAGATTTACTGTGGTGAATAACTGATCAACTCATTCCAGGTGAATCCATGCACCGAGGTAATCAAAAAGCCTTATAGGTCATACAAAATCAGTTCCTTTATTCCTTCACGTTCCCCAGTGGAACATAGGGCACCTTCAAGCTAAGGGCTTGGAGTTTCTGTAGCAGCGTTTATTTTTATAGGATGGGGTTGCTAGCCTCATGCCCAACCTTTCCTCTATACCAGCTTTTATTTCTGGCATAGTCAGGTAAAGGAGTGCGTCGGTGGCCGGGAATCGAACCCCTGACCATGTGCATGGTCGGCAAGTGTCCTAACCGCTATGCCACCGACGCACACATACAAAATCATTATCACTGTTAATCCCTTATGTTCCGTGTGGAACACTCGGCTTCAATAACACATG